ATGGTTTTTTTTTTTTAAGAGAATTCAAAACAAAAGCATTTTTCCATGGGAAGGATTCTTAAAATTAATTCCAAAATCTTATTTCAAATCCATCTGGACTCTTAGTCCATTTGTAACTTTACAAAATCAAAAGCAAAAGGGTGATTAAAATGTTGATTTTAAGTTACTAAAATTGTTTATACTTGTGATGAAGGGGGAAGTCATTTCTTTATATGTTTTCTTTTCTTTTTCTTTACTATATTATTTTTTCTATTTTATTTTTCTGCACCATCTATTTTTTCTTTTTATTCTTTTTTTCTTTTAATTTGTATTAGTTTTTATCTTAATTGTAATGTTTAATAAAATTATTATTAAAAAAAGGGTCTCATCTGAAAAGCCGTTAACAAGCAATTTCCAAAAGCGATTAGAAAAGGAAGTATTCGAACCCGGTAGTCCATTGAAAGGTGCTGACTGCGGTTTGAGCAAAGATGGTGTTCCCTCATTTCCCAGAGCTGTAAACCTGCCAGAGACTCTTGTCTTGTGGTCTCCTTCTGAGGAACAACTGTCTGGAGCACCTGTGGGCAATCTCATGTCCTCTCCTTATCTGGAGAGGAATTAGGAAGAGCCGGTCTACTCTCTGGCTCTTCATTCTTCCCTGGTCGTTGGCTCCGCTTTGCCATTTCTTCCCTGGAAGTCAAAGAAATGAAGAATTCAAAGAGATCCCCAAATTGGTGAACAGAGAGAAGGAACACTCAGTGTGAGGTGCTGCTACATGGAAAGGATTGAGATACAGTATTCCCTCATTCTACATTTCTGTAGATTTAAGAACAAGCTTTTCTGATAATATGTTCTGTTTCTTCTTAATAACAGTTTTCAAAACTGGGAAATCTGATTCAGCGTTAAATTCTTGAAACTGCTAGATATACAAAAATGCAAAACCTGAGTAGCTTAGGTGGATTCTTCATGCTGCATCCTACATATAAGCACTAAGCAATGTAATTGGAGAATTTGTGGGAAGGAACAAAGGATGGACATTGAGAAAGTATTCAGAAATTGCAAGTAGGCATTTTGATTCAATTAGCGGTATAAGACTTTTTGAAAATCTAAGGGCCATACTGTCAGGTGGTAAATCTAAGACATTTGGAGAGCAGCAAGTTGGGGAATGCTGTCCTTGAAAGATTGTAAAAATAATGAGCAAGTTTTCCTGACCAGAAATAATGAGCAATTTTCAGGCTACATGTTAAAGGAAGGGGATGATTGGAGGTGGCAGGGCCAGTGGAAAGAATCCTCATCTGCAGCTTGTTACAGTCTTTGGGATAGGATACAGGAAGCATTTTGCAGACTTAATTAAATTAGGTTTGGGCCTAATCTTAAAAAGGTCTCTGGTTGCAGCAAGGCATGCTGGAAGACATAACGGTCCCTGTGCCTTTGAAAATATAAATGCCAGCAATGGCTTGCAGCTGGCTCCAGCACTAATTGGAAGATAGGGGCCCCTTGGGCATGTGAGACAGAGAGAATACAGAAGACGTCAAGAGAGGTAGGGGCTTTTTGCTCACAGATCTGGAAAGTTGAATTTTAAATGAATGCTAAGTATAGTTCTGTTTTTTCAAATTATGTGTAAATAGAGGTACCAAGTTAGTTGGAGAGAAAATTGTCTCCCAGGTGAGTGCCAGTAGTAAAGGAAGTACCATTATTGGAATCCAATAATGTTCTCTATCCTGATGCCCTCCAGGTGTGTTGAATCCCAGAATTGCTAGAAGGCATAGCCAAAAGGCTTTGCCTGCAGGGGATAATGGGAGTTGAAAAACACCTGGTTGTAGTACACTGTTGTAGGTGCGCCTGAAGCAAGTCTGGGACTTCACTGGGTCTCCCCTCCTTGTTTCATCACCACTGCTTAGTTGTTGTCATGAGTATAGCCTACATGTGTTATTCCAATTAGAGAAACCTGTTATTATTCTTATTAGTGTTAAGAACATGTAAAGTGATAGGGCTCCTTAAACTTTGAACCCGATGAGGCTCAAGAGAATTGGGTCAAGAGCAGAGAGGGGAGGGAAGAGGAGAGGATCTGATTGGGCAGGGCAGCTGTTGGAACTAAGCATCATTTTAAAGCAAGGCTTCTTCCTCATCTTCTGCTAGAAACTTCTCTGTACTTTAATGTCCATTGCAAAATATGGCCTGGGAATTTCAGAGCTGAGTATGCTGGTGATATTACAAAGACTCTTCAGTGAGCTGCATTCAGACATGGTGCTAAGTCAGGAACAAACAGTTCTTTATTTATTTTGCTGCTATGCGCCTCATTCTTTAAAATTTGCTTCACAGAAAATCTATCTACATGCTAAGAGTTGACATTGACTAGATGGCACATAATCATTTTAGGATTACTGGGGTCATAACAGGATTATCAGTGGAAAAGGTGAAGTTAGATTTGTTTTCCCCTGTTGGTGAGATGTAGTAAAATAGATGGGTTAAGCCTTTAACATACCTATTTCATTTAAAAAAAAAATTATTGTGCCCTCATTATTCAGTAATTTGCTCTCAGCTATTTGATGGTGTGATCCTTGGTGGTTTTTAGACTTTGAAAAAAAGATCTGGGCCATCCAGTACTAACAGCTCTGCTTGTTGAACAAGCCATAGTAACTTCCTTTGCATAACCTAGACCATTAACCTTGGTTTATAAGCCACAGTGGCTACGTTTGCAGAGAACACCTCACACCAAAGTGCAGTGTATAATCCAAGCCAAAAAATGCCTGAATACATTCCCTGTTACCT